GAAACAAACAAACCATGCACATATAAATATAAAAACTGTAATTGCAACTATATCCCAAATTCACCTGATTTTCTAAGACTTTAAAAGAGAAAGTAAGCTTTCAATATTGACCAAACCAGTCCACAATTTTTTTTCCAAATAATGTGAAATTTTCTGAATAAGAGAGTATATAATTGGATTTCAGAGATGTGTGATTCTGGAATTTTTGAGTGTAATATTTATTTCTTGCCAATTCCCTGTCCTGCAACGTTCTTTCAACCTGTTATTCAGATAACTGTTCACAAGACTGATTGGTAAACTGTTTAATTCCTGTGTTGAGCACATATTTAACAAGATATTATTTTAAATGGATGGAAAATTAATACAATGACAAACAGTTGAAGTAGTACATCATAGAATCTGAAAATAATTTGAAATAATATTATGCAAAGCTACATTAAAGGTAAGTCATTTACAATATATCTCAATCTAAATCCATTTCATATATATTTAATTTTAACAATATACTCTCAATTTTTATTCCAATATATAATAATTAGCATATTTTAGGGAATTACATCTTGTTTCTTCAGACTTACACTCTTTATGATGATAAAACTGTTGTTCTTTTTATGAGACAGTTTTTTTTAAATTAATGAGTTAGCTAAATTGGTTTATGCTGTTGAAGAAGTATAGAAAACTATTTTGGTTTTCTGTTCAGTTTACTTATTCTTATATTTAATAATATATTGTACAATAAAACAATGTCTTTCCTACTAATGTTAATGCTGTTAAGTTTTTTTTTCTTCCACTGGAAATCCTATCCCAGCAAAGTGTTGTAAAAATATCTCCTGCGCTTACCTTTATCGCTATAATCATCTACAAGGATAATTTCTTCTAGAAGAATATCAGGAGATGTCTCAAGAACACTATGAACTGTTCTCAGAAGCGTTGACCAGGCTTCGTTATAAAAAGCTATTACAACAGAAGTCTTTGGCAAATGGTAATAATCATATTTTTTCTCTTTACATCTGAAAGAAAAGCACACTGTATTACAATAATTTAAAATCAGGCATGCAGTTACACACCATGATCAGCAATAAATGCAGCTCTGAAGCATACATGCAAAAATGAATTGGGTATAGAAGTTGGTTCACTAACTAAAAATTTCATTTTATATATACATTTATCCCTATGGAAACAAATATCAACTCCTTAAAGAGTACAGTACTTGTACACCTCACGGGTGATATGTTTTTTCTGCAATTTCAGGTCTGCCATCAGAGGCTCAGGAGTTCGAAGATTCTGAATAGTATCTTAGCTGTTGCTAACATTGCATTTTTTGTGAACATAGAAAGCACAATTATTATTAAAGTACAATTAGCTGGACTGGAAATTTTATCTAATGCAGTAACAGAATCAAGACATCCCTGAACATCAAAAGGCATAAGTGGCAAAAGTCATTGAGGCTGCTACAAAAAGGTCTTGTTTGGTGTTCATTTTGTGCATATATTCCAATAACCACCTCATCAGAACCCACTATATTAGAAAACACATCCCACCTTTCCCACCAAAGTGCTCCTGATATTATAAAATTACACCAGATTGCCTTAAAATTATAGGAATTATAACTATTTATAGTCAACTAGACTCAAAAGTTGCATTGCAGTTCTGCAACAGAATAATATATGATTTATATACATGAACATGTTCCATTATAATATCAGCATTGTTCTGTATACTCACAGGAAGAAAAGTGATGTGGCTAATTAGTTTTCTACAAGCAATCTTAAATCTTGTTTTTAGTTTTTTTTAGTTTACTTTATTGTCATTACACCTCGTACAACGAAATCAAACAGTGCACATCATAACCATGAAAATAAACACAAACACACATCCTTCACACTTCACACATTGAACCAAAAATCCCAACACCGCACCAACACTGCACTATACAGTAGAATTCAAAAGAGCTACTGCCCTGGGATAGAAGCTGTTTTTCAGCCTATTTGTCCTTGTTTTTATTATTCTCTACCGTCTGCCAGATGGTAATAAGTTCAAAAAAAGGGTTCCCAGGATGAGATGCATCTTTGAGAATGTTTTGAACTTTCTTAAGGCAGCGGGAGCTATAAAACTCTTCCAAAGAGGGGAAAGGGCAACCAATGATCTTCTGGGCAATGACGCTAACCCTCTGGAGTGCTGTCCTATCTGCCACTGTGCAATTGGCAAACCATACAGAGGTGCAGTATGTTAAAATGCTCTCTATGCTGCAGCGGTAGAAGGTCACCAGCAGTTTTTCATTCAGTTGTTGTTTTCTGAAAAGTCTCAGGTAGTATAATCTCTCCTGGGCCATTCTGACCAGTGCTGCAATGTGAGCACCCCAGATAAGGTCCTCTTTTATGGTAACACCCAGAAACTTAAAACTGGTCACTTGCTCCACTCGGTCTCCACTGATAAGCAAGGGCTGGATATCTGATCTGTTGCTTCTATAGTCTCCTATAAGCTCCTTGATTTTACTGGTGTTGAGGACCAAGTTTTAGAAAGTTTTGAAAAGAAGAGAGCCAAATATGACAAATTATTGCCAATGTTTCTACGTATGATGTAGGATATTTTCTTTGAAACACTGACATTGCAAAACTGAAAAGCAATTAGCATTACAACTCATTCAGGCTTCATCTATTTAGGGTGATACATTTTAAATGTCCAACTAGAAAGTTCCATCAAAAACCACTACGAAAGCTGGATGAAATCAATCAAGAATAAGAACATGATTCTAAGCACATTTATCCCACTGCCAGTCTCACAGGTTCATTCACATGTTACGGTTTTGTGTAAACTTAAAGACTACAACCTAAGAACTATTTCAATAGAATTAAGCTATGGACTTTGCATAGGTTTAGAAACACTTACTCCTTATCACTTATCACTCCTTATCACCCTTCCCCTCCCACTAGTGACTGTATCACTGTAACTTTGTTGCTTGTATCCTTACGATTTATATTGTTTCCTAGTATGATTTGATTGCTTATTGTATCCTATGACTATTATTAAGTGTTGTACCTTATGATTCTTGACTCTTGACGAATGTATCTTTTCTTTTATGTATACAGAGAACATTTGCACCAAGACAAATTCCTTGTGTGTCCAATCACACTTGGCCAATAAAAGAATTCTAATTCTAATTTAAAACAGGCTTGTCAAACTCGATTTCATTGAGGGCTGCATCTGGGTTGTGTTTGATCATGGGGGGGGGACATGGCCGGAGTAGGCGTGGCCAGCTAACATCACTCGGGTCTGGGGCAACTTTGGTGGCCTGAGCACTCTGCTAGCAAAAATGGAGCCCAGGAGGGCCACATACAGCCTCGTGATCTCCGTTTTCAGTTGCAATGGCCTCCATTTTTGCTGGCAGATACACCGCAGCTGGCCCTTTGCTGTTTCCAGGGTGGCCCCGTGGGCTGGATCTAAGCATCCCACAGGCTGGATCTGGTCCCCAGGCCTTGAGTTTGACACCCCTGATTTAAAATGTCCCATTTCCTAAATGTCAGGAAAATATTATTTCCTACGAATGAGCAAAGATGGAACTTCTGGAGATGAGGATTCTCAAAACTCCCAAAAAGGTTAGACATTGACAGAAAACTAGAAAACAACGTTAATGTAACTCCTCTGGAAAATGGAAATCTCTTCCCTAAATTCTGGCATTATGTGCTAAGGGTTATCACAGTTTGGCCCAGTCTTTTGTAGAAGTGTAATATTTATAGCATGCAAAACTATGCAAATTAAAATTGGCTAAATTTTAGTTTATGGCCTGGAGAATGTGTATCTCATATTTTTATTTTATAAAACTTAATGTAAGAAGTGACAGGTCAATGGTTTTGAAAGTTTTTTTTAGTAAAAAGGTATTGTTGTTTTTAAAATAAGCTTTTTATAAATCAAAGCAATTGTGGGAAGCAAGGAATCATGGAAAATATGACATAAAATACTCTAAAAAGGAACAAGGAGGATTGAGAAGGTAACCAAATCTTGTCTGGATTTCATTTCCTTCACACAATAGTCTAGCCTACCATTTGGATGGTTGTAAATATGTTGTGTATAGGTAGTCCTCGACTTACAACAGTTCGTTTAGTGACCATTTGAAATTAAGGAATTGAAAAAGTAATTTATAACCATTTTTCACATACCACCATTATAGCATCTCCATGGTCGTGGTCACATGATCAAAATTAAAATGCTTGACTCATATCTATGATGTCTGCAGAGTCATGTGATCCCCTCCTTAGCGACCTTCTGACAAGCAGTCAGTGGGGAAGCCAGATTCACTTAACAACTGTGTTACTAACTTAACAACTGCAGTGATTCACTTAACACCTGTCTCACTTACCAACAGAAATTTTGGCTCAGTTTGTGGTCATAATGCGAGGACTACCTGTATAGCCCATTCAGCTCATTTCTAATTTAAACTCGGGATTAGCATGTTACATGGATGCATCTTTAATGTTGGCTTAACCTGCTGCGTGAACCCAGTCAAATATCTCCGAGAGGGTGAGATCCACTTTGCAACTGTTGGCTTAACCTCGCGGGGTTGCACTTGAGCGTGCGCTTCAGTTCAGCACATTTGCAAATGCAATCGCGACCTACGAAGCCTCGTCTTAGAAATGCCACGAGAGACTCCGCCGGGGCCGCTAAAGGAAGTTCCACGAGTTTACTTCTGGGGCATGAAGTACAACGCGATCACGGTAAAGTGACGCCTCCCCTCTCCCTCCAGCTAACTAAGCCGGATCCCGCGGCGGGAAGCGCCCTCCCTCTCGCTCTCCCCGTGAGGCCGGCGGCGGCGCCTCTTCCGGGCGCCCTCTGCACTCACAGCGGGTTGCGGCGCTCGGGCAGGCGGCGGTGAAGGGAGATGCGGTCGCTCAGGAAGATGTTGATCTGGTGCAGCTGGATGCTCTCCTCCTGAAGGTCCTGTTCGGCCTTGCTTAACTCCAAGCGCGCCGGCCGGCCCATCTCGCCCACCTCGGTCTCTCTGCCCAACGGCGGCTTGTCATAGACGGGTCTGCGCAATCGTCGCTGGGCTACTTCGGGCGCCAAGGAAGGCGGCGCCGCTCTCCCAGAGCTCTTCGCCGTGTCCCGCGGACCCCAGTGCCACAGCAACAACACGCCCGCTATGCCAAGCCCCGAGAACAGCGCCACCACGAGCGACCATCCTCCTCGGCCGGGCCGAACTCGCCGGCTCCGCCGCATCCCAACTTGGGTAGAAACGTCCTCTCCCAGGCTCTTTTGGGTGCTGCCCGCAAGACAAAACCGTCCTGACAGGCGGGGGCGGACCGACGCGGCAATAAAAGTTAGTCAGAGAAGGACCGCCCAGGCGCGGCTGCCTTACCCGGACTAATCGCGGAAGCGACTTCTGGCCTGCTCGCCTCCGGATTCTTGGCTTACAACGTGGCGGGGCAGGGCAGGCATGGAAGCCGTTAGCAACAGCGCAGCCTACCTGGGTCCCCCTCTCCTTTCTCCTTCCGCGGAGGAGAGTCGCCAGAGAGGAAAGCGAGGGAGAAAAACAGTCTGCATTTTCTTCTGAACTTTAAACTTACCTTCTGGTGAACTTCACCTCCGTTGATAGAATGGAAGACGGTTGTGGTTCAATTCCCATTTGGAGGAGGAAAACCATTTTCAGGAGAGTGGTCAACCCGGGAAGGGTGGCAGCCTCCTCTCCCTCCTAGAGTCTGAGTGGAAGAAGGATTTTTATGGGTGATTTTTGAGAATAGGAAAAACAGCTTCCCATGATCTGCCCCCTTTCCTCTATCCTAATGCAACTTTCCAGTGGACCTGTGTGCACAGTCCATGACTAAGTTCACACATTGTTGTTAGATGAAAAACACCAACATTATGAATCTCAAGCACTGCTTCCTTTATCATTATCTCAAAGTGATGTACAAAATACAGGTACAAACACCAATAAAGTTGGGGAAGAGGAAAGGAAAGCAGAAGCAACAATCAAATCCAGAAAACACTATAGTGAAGAAAGATTTTAAAGCAATATCTAAAAGATGTAACAACAGTCTTATGAATTATTTTTAAGTAGTGGTTTGAATAACTTGAGTACTGACAGCAAGTTGACTCATTTCTTGCAACATACTGTAACCCAAAATTTACATAATACAATTCCCCTCATTCACACCAGGACCTATGTATATTTCTTATATTTTTATGCTATGTTACAATTAGAGTCACAATTCTGAGTTCTATTTAGAAAACATGCTACTTCGCTGCTTATAGTATCTCCTTGTCCACTGCTAGTAACTCAGACTGAGGGAGAAGAAAAAAATCAAGCACAACAACGTTTGAACTTTTTGAGAAACTTAAAGGACTAGATAAATTTTATGAAAAATGGAGTCATGAATGTAAAAAGAACCAAAGTTGTGCATTAAAGACAAAAATAAACAAATTATCTTTGCAGTTAAAACAATTAGAGGAAAAAGATACAAAAATCTTCAAAGAAACCACAAATATTTTAATATCCTTTTTCAAATTGAAACAAACTATTAAAACCCCTACTTAGAAATGTAGGTACAAAATTAGAGCCTGAGCTAATTTTGCAATCTGCAAGAGTAAAATAGGACTTTGTAAAAATTGAGCAGGGCCTCCATATACTAAATGTACTTGTTTTTGCACATTAAACTGCATAAATGTATTGGCTTAATCCTGCTATGGTATCAATATTTGATGCAGAAGATAAATTCAATTGCATTGCAAATATTGCAAATGGCTGTATTAATTTTTTTAAGGAAACTTAATCAGACATGAAGCAAACCACTGAGCAAGAATGAAACCTTTCCTTTAATCTAAAAACATATACAAAGAAAGATGACCAATTGTAAAATGAAACAGAAAAAACACTATTGAGTTACAAAAGTGGAAAAGCAATGACTCAAAAGATTGACAATCTTCCAGGCCAGAACTTGCAAAGTATTAAGCAACAATACTAAGTAATATTAAAACTTACAGTTTTACAAGCAAAACAGATTTTCATGAAGCAAATGTTAACAGTAGACAAATATTTGTAAAACAGAAAGCTTTAAAGAAAAGTGTTAGGTCACTCCCTTAATTGAATAAACTACATTAACTGAAATTTTTCCTTTATTACTAAGCCAATTAGAATAAAAATATGATTACCTTCATTTATCATCCGACAGCTAAAAATTCTTGTTCATAAGATCAGAGACATCTGTCCTGAGGTCTCTTCTGCACAACTGCCTTAAAATGCTTTTATCTGTGCTGAATCTTGGTGGAAATAAAACTATCTAAAGAAATTGTCCAGATGTCAACCAATTATTTTCTTGCATTTGGCAATTGTGGCCAGATGTCCCCCCACCCCAGCTGACCACAGTTCCTGATTGGTGGATTACTCTGCTAGTTCTGTCAAGAAAACAAGCAAAATTTGATAGATTATTTACATGAGCTCTCAATTGAATCACCCTATATTGGAATCATAGAAATGAGCTGTAAGGTTCCATAAGGATCACCTAGTCTAATTTTGTGCAGTATACAAGAAAATCAGTTAAACCATATTTGTGAGGTGGCTACCCAACCTGTTCTTAAAACCCTCAAAAGATGGAGGCCACACAATCTCAGACTGCTCCCCAGTTGAACAGATTTTATTGTCATTTTTTCCTTGCATTTAATTTAAATTTGATCCTAGCTTATCTGGCAATGGGAAATGGTTATAAAGCATGTTTTATATAACATCCTTTTCTGACCCTGAACAGATATCACGGTTACCTTCATCTTCAGACTGAACATCCTAGTCCTTCAGCTTGACCTCATGAAGCATGGCCTCAAAGAACTGCCACATTTTTGCCTTTCCCTGAACCTATTCACATATCTTTGATATAATGCTGTTTCTGGTGCAGTCTTAATAGTATTAGCCCTTCTAGCAGGTATCTCACACTGCTGGCGCACCTTTCTTATTTTCAATGGCCAAGACCTTCCTCATACTTTTTCCAAGCATAAACTTCCCATTTTATATATGTATCATATGTTTCCTCTCTAATGCCTTATATTTTCCCTGTTAAATATATATTTTCCTTATCAGCCAGCCTTCTAACCAGCTTGCAATCTGATGCTGCCTTCCTGGATGTTGTCCAGAACACCCTATTTTGTGCCATCCACAAAATTGAAAAATATCCCATCAATCTTGTTTTTGGGGTCATTAATAAAAATAGTTGGATTATACTCCAACCCAAGGTAGGTGTTGCATTTCTGAATACTAAGGATCAACCAGCTGTGGATCTTTCCTACTGTAGTGGCATCTAAATCAAATTTTATCAACTTGTTAACATTTCACGTAGTAACTTTTCCAAAAACGTTGCTAAAATCAAAATCAAGTTAGACTGGAAGATGATTTTTAACTTTATGTGAAAACTATGTATGCTGTGCTTAAAAATGATATAAATGTAAGAGTGACCTGTTCGAAACTCATATTTCAAATGTTTTACAAGGGCTCTTTTAAAAATCCCAACCATATACCATCCATCACATAATCATCTGCAGAATGTAAAATTTTCTGCCCTGTTTCTGAGGAAGTCAATGTGGCAGGAACGGAGAAAGAAAACTTATTAGTGCCTGAATTAAGTGCCTGAATTAAAGAGGAGACCTGTGTCCCAAGCTGAAGACTTCCTAAGCTGATTCCTTTTCCCGTATTAATTGAAACCATCCTTCTCTCCCTCCCCCTGTCGGAGGCCTCAGCGGTGCAGCCCTCCCTTTCCCAACTCTGGAGAACTTGGCGCTTCGGCCGGAATTCTCCCCCCTTCTTCTCACGGGCGGAGCGGAGGAAGATTGCGGACGGGTTCGGAAGAGGGCCAGGTCCGCCGATGGGGGAGTGCGGGGTGCCCGCTGGCGTCCAGTTACTACTTCGCGCTTGTGATCAGGGAGACTGCGAGTGCGCCCGGCGATTGCTAGTGGGACCCTCGCCTGCCGCTGGAACCGCCGAAGAAGCCGCGGCGGAGGCTGGGAGCGTCTTGTCTAGCGGAGGTGGGGTTGGGGCTGCGGCGGACATTCCTCCCGGCTCGGTGCCAGTGGACTGCACAGACGAGGCGGGCAACACCGGCCTACAGTTCGCAGCGGCCGGGGGGCACGAAGAGCTGGTGGGCTTCCTGCTGCGGCGGGGGGCCTCGGTGCAGAGCCGGAATCACTGCGGCTGGAGCCCGCTCATGCAAGCAGCCAGGTTAGCGCGGCGGGAGAAACGGGTTGGTGGCTCAGCGGTCCTTGCTGGGGAGAGCTGGGCTGGCTGTGTGGCTCAAGTGCGCTGCCTACAGTTCAAGGTCGAGATGAAAACAACAGTAAATCAGCTGATGGGGAGGCCCCAGAAGCTGCTTCCCGCCCCACAAACACACACACAGCCGAGAGAGAAACTTGACTTTTTGTTTCCCGATTGATCTCCTTTACCTCTCCAACTAGATTCTCCTGGTCTTTGGTTTCCCTGACTCATTTGCTCTCATTGCACAGTTTTTATTCCTTCTTGGTTCGATGTTCTATCTTTTTCAAATTGCTTCCGTTTTCTTAATTTGGTAAAAAATGAGAGATGAAAGGTAGTATACAAATGTAGACATGCAATGATATGTAAGCAGACTTGTATATCTCTATATCATCACTATCTCAAGTGACTGTTAGAAGTCATTTTTCGTAGTATATGAAAGAGAAAACTGCTTTGGGGATATTTGAATTTGTCCTGTTTCTCCATCCTTACCACTTATCAAATAAATGCCTAAAGCCATCCTTCTTTCAAATAGCTTTGGTAACACCCTCTGCTTTTCAAATATTGGAACACTTCCAAAACTTATTTTATCGGTTGACCTTTACTTAAAGAGCTATATGTACTTTCACCACAAATGTTGTTATTGTGTATACAGTTATTATATACAAAGGCTATTAATCCCATATTTTTGCAATACACTGTATGAGCTTTAAGTAATACAGAAATCTTTCTTTAAGATATTCAGATGGAATGCCACATGAGATATATTGCAGCTGAGGCAAGCATGATGTTGAACGTGGCCTCAGTATTTTAGTTAGACTGAGAACGAAACTGGGGAGGTCCCAGCACACAATACTTGTTATGTTAAGGCAGAATCCTTTTAAATTTAAATAATGCACATTTAATTTTCTTGGATATTGTAATTATTTTCTTTTTCTTTTCCCCAATCAAAGGTTTGGACATCTAAATGTGGCTCGTATCTTACTGGAAAATGGAGCTGACCCTAATGCACAGAATAAATTGGGAGCCAGTGTACTCACCATAGCATCACGGGGCGGCCATATCAGTGTGATTAAGCTACTGCTGGAATCTGGTGCTTA